TTACAATGGTAGGCAAGGGATATATGGCCCTTCTTGCCATGGTCTTGTAACTCCAACAAAATGATTGAGTGAGACAATGAAAATAAGGTGCCTGTGACCCACTAAGGATTTTTTTTTTTTTTTATCATCCAGCTAGGCTTAAAAATACCCAACCCCAGAAGTTCAAGGGCAACCTTATTATCACCAAGAAGAATCAGGAGCAGAGCATGTCCTTTGGAGTCACTATGCTGAGACCTCCTATTCCCTAGAGACAGAGAAAGCTGTAACACTGTTGACAGTGTGAGATGGTGAGAAACAGTGTCAACATGACAGAGCCCAACAGCAGAGAAATGATGGCAGCAGAACCAGGAGGTTGGCATAAGATGGTATGGTGGGCTTCATGACCCATGGAGCAAGCCAGCTACAGTGGGTTTGCTAACCCAAGAGTGAGAGACGTGTGTATCTTCAGGTAGGAGATTGATGGCAGAGTGGGGAGTCTCCAGGTATTCATCGATGAAAATAAAAAAAGAGCAATAACACTTGCGGGCGCAGGGTCCAAGAAAGGCCTAGTACAGAGGCCTGCCTACAGGTGTAGCCAAAGAAGAAGCTGTCCTGTTTGAAGAAACAGTCTTGAGTTGTTCCTATTAATTTCAACTTGATCTTGACCCTAGATTATAACCTTAATTCCTTAAAAACAAAAGGGAAAAAAACCCAACAAACATTGCCATTGAGTTAATTCCAACTCATAGTGATCCTAATGCCTTTATACGCCTCACAACCATGAGTATGCTCTGTGAGTCCTATGTGGCCATTGTCGTGAATTATTAACCCATCAGAGAAGTAGAAAGTGCTCTAGGAGGGCCGGTATAGAAAGTGGCAAAAGGTTGGGGAGTAGAGGTATGGGAATCAGCTATGAACTGACAAGGTATGTTTCACCTCTAGCTCACGGGAATCAGCCTTGGGCTGATGAGGATGATTCTCCTACTCCATTGTGAGGTTAGAGGACCTCTGATGCTGCCATTCTAGAATATGTCATTGGGGATGCTGGTGAATAAAAAACTGTTTTATTTATAATTATGGAAAGGGTGAATGCTTGGCTCAATGTTATCCACTGAGTATAAATTTAAGTATGAACAGCAGTTCAACTGCGTTGAGAGCAATTACCAATAGCAGTCAGTTCCTAGAGAAATAAGCATGGTTATTACCAAAGCATAATCGGAAACACTTCACGTTAAGTGGCTTCCCCCGTGGATGACCTCCTGACAAGAGATACATATGCGTTCCATATAATGGCAACTGTGATTTACCTTTAATCTCTGAGGCCTGTTCTTCCCAGCTCAAGTGTGACCATTTGTTTAAAAGATGAAACTTGTCCAAATTTCAAATGAATATGACACCTGAACAACTCATCATGGATGAACATTTTATTGGAATATAGGCACTTGACAGAGTTAATATGTGGTTACAAAATATTTTCAGTTTATTTTCTTTATACCGTGACCAGGAAAAAGAATCAATGTATAGATAGTGTAGATCTTTTCCCTTGAAGTTGTAGACCCCAAGCCCTTTTGTGTACAGGAAAGTAAGAAGACACATGTTGCCAACTTTTTAATCTAGTGAAACTATTTTATTGTCTAATTCAAGGATGCCCCTCCCTTCCCCATGTTAAAATTGCTACGTAGCGTATATCATTTAGTACTTCTTAGAATGAATTAAAATTCCTTTTCTCTGGAAGAATTGTATAGTCCTCTGATACAACTGCTTCCCATCCAGAGGATTATAAAACCACAGTTGAGAATCTTCATCATAAAATGTCGAAGGCCAGGCCTAAAGATCTGCAATTGGTCACCATCAGCCTCTTTCTAAAACATTTGGTCAAAATGAATTTCATACTTACTGGTTCTGAAATACTTTTAATTATGATGATATGATGATGATTTGGATGAAAGTTTACCAAAAAAATTGGTTTTCCATTCAACAATTCAGTATATTTGGTTTTGTGAAATTGATTGCAATCCCCATAATGTAACAGCAGTTTTTCCACTTCCTCCCAGACAAAACACTTTCTTGTAAAAGAGTTTTCTGTGCATTATGCAAGGCACTACTGTCTCCGCTTAAGCTACAAAGTAGAAAATGACAATTTTCTTCAAGGGAAATACTCTTTCTTTGTGTAAGGTCAATAGTTCAGTCATAGGATTTTTGCTTACAGCCACATCTTGGCAGTTTATGCATCTCTAATGAATTTGCCCATAGGAAAGAGAAAGCCTTCGTGATAAACCTGCTCCATCCTGGAAATCTCTGAAGCTACAAATATGAAACCACATAAAAAGGAAAGCAACTTCTGGTCATATGAAATTTGTCCATTCAAGATGGAAAAACAATATTTTGAATGTATTTTAGCTTCCTGATCCATCTTTAAATTGAACAATCATTTGGCTTATTCTAGAAAGCTTGTCTTCTGTAAAATATATACATAAAGATTTGACAATTATATTCTTATAACTTCCTCCCACTTCTGGCCTACAAGACTAATAAAAGAAGGGCAGCGCAGTGATGCACAATTTAGGGATGAAAATCAGCTTTCCTAGGGGTGTGAGAAGCTCTGAGGAGAGCAAAAAGAGGACTCTGGAAGCTTCAGAGCAGGGGTAGCCTGGGTGAGAATGTCCCATTGTTGATCCTCCTGAATAGGAGGCAGGTTTTGGTGGGCTGGGTCTTGCTCCTTTAGCTCCTTGCTCTACTGGGCAGTGCATTTGGTCACATGCCATCTTTCCCTTGGACTTGTTTCAGGGAAGACACACCAAGGGCAGAAAGCCCAATTAAAAGTGTGCCTGACAGTAAGGCTCAGTACAGCCGCGTTCAGTTCTGATTTCCTGAGCAGTCTAACATTTGCCAGTTCTCTACTAGGCACTGGGGATATTAAAATAAGCTGAGGAATCAGGAAGCCATTATTCAAGGTTGTGTGCACCTAGCAGGAAGTACATAGGATTACTAAAACCTAGTTACTGTCTTGAAGAGAGGAGTTCCTGACAGGTACAGGAAGTAAACAAAAGGTCTATTCTGCTAAGTGCCAGTTTCTCAGGAAGCACTGGGGACCTCAGGAGCCTTTATCTTCTTTATTCCTGGTGAGTGCCTTCTAAACACTCTATCAACAGTTGGAACAACTCAATATGAGAGTATACTGATATGATTATGTTTCATCCCTTATGACCAGAAATCCAAAAAAGTCTTTATGCGCAGAGAGGGGTGGTGGTGGTGTGCTGTTGAGTCCGTTCTTACTCATAGCAATCCTGTATAGGGTTTCCAAGACTGTGAATTTTTATGGGAGCAGAAAGCCTCATCTTTCTCCCAAAGAGCAACTGGTAGATTCAAACTGCTAACCTTGTGGTTAGAAATCAACTTGTAACCCATTACGCTACCAGGGCTCCTTATGAGCAGGGTTTGTTGTTAAGTGCCTTCTAGTCAGTTCTCATAGCGGCCATGTGTAAGATTTCCAAGGAGCAACTGGTGGGTTTGAACCGACGACTCTGAGGTTCAAATCAACCTTGTGCAGTGCCACAACAGCACTCCTATGGGCAGGTTAGAGGTTAATTTAATTCCTAGCAAAAAAGTTTTAACTGTGGGACACATTCTCAAAACAAGTGATAGGGCAATATGGGATCTAATATTAAACTTGTGCAGGCAAACTTCAAAATGGAAACACTTGTAACTGCAGCTCTTAAGAAATCCTCTAGTTTTGTTTTGTTTTTCCCGAGAGACAAGAGAGTAACTCTTTTCAACCTTTTGTATATAAGACTGTTACACCTTTAACAGTAATGGTCATAGGTCATGATCCATTTAGAATCTGTATTTGTGTCTACTTCCAGCCAAGGAGGAAGGGACAGTCTTTTCACTACAGAAGCCCCAGTGCCTCGTACAAAGCAGGGACTGAATTAACTCACTGAATGACCGAACAAATGCTTTTGGTAACATCTTTGGAATTTGGTGGCATATATTTCAACTTGTGTTTTTGTTGTTATTTCTGCTATCTTCTGGCAGCAGCCAGGACTGTTTCAATGAAAAGACAGAAAGCTGTGCCATGGTTTAAAAACGGTCCTTTTCTTTTCTTCTATATTAAATTACCTTGGGTCTTTTAATTTATACTAGACAATACGCTTTATCTTTTTATTTTTATTATTATACCTAACATAGTACGTGGCATACAGTAACTGTTTAAATAATGCTTGTTTAATTAGTAGAGTTCAAGCTCCATCATTTAGTTAAGCTTTTTTGCTGCGCAGTCTAAGGCTGATATGGAATGCTTTCAGGCTGAGACATGCCAATGGCATGTTCTTGCCACATTTGAGTGTCCCCAGAAGGAGATTCATAATAAGGATCATAAGATTAATTAACACAACTAGTCATTAAGTTGATAGCAGAATTAATAACAGGCCCAGACAGTTCCACAGACTAAACCTCTTTCATTTCAGCTTCTCCTGAAGTTATTGGCCTCATTGGTGGTGCAAAGTTATATACAACAGTGGTGAGTGGTGTTCATACCTACCCTGTCTTATAGCCTGACTCTGAACGAATGCTGAGTTCTTCAGAGAGAGTGAAATCAGCAGAGTAGACAGTGAAGCTTGATTTACAGCATACATTTGATTTAGAAGCCTTAAAGTGCATTAGGAGACTCACCCCCAAAATGTACAGAATGTACTAAAAACCGTGGTCCTACTTTTTCTCAGTCTTAACTACAATACCATGCCCTCCCTCTGACAGACACCCTCAATTGCCTCTAATTGCAAACACTCCATTGTTTGTGTAATTCCTATTAAGCACAAAAGCAGTAATTTATGGTAGAACGGTTCAATCCCACAAACAGATTTCTCACACCCTGTGTGCTTTTCCTTCGGTTTCATTAGACAAGTGAAGGAAATATTTAATAAAATGTTTCTTTGCAGCAACTCACATGCAATCCCTAGTGCACCCTACATACCCCTTTGACTGACCTTGTTCAAAGAAAGGCTTTTGCCAAATGATCCCTTTCATTCTTCTGAGGGCTGTGCTGGGAAACTCTCCTGACCACCTTCTCTCTCCTGAACGTCATTTCCTTGTGCGCCTAGACTATCACTGTCTGGAGCGTCTTCAACCATCCATGGGCATGCATGGACACCAGTGGTCTTAATCACCTCGCTATCCACTATGGCCACGGGCTGGCCCATGCTGCTTTTGCCTTCCCTACCTTCTTGTTCCTCAGAAACCTGGCTCTCACTAGGGCAGACAGGGTCAGAACTTAAAAGGTGATCTTCTTGTGCATCGGCCTCACTCGTCAGGGCACACAGGGCCCCTCCTCCTTCCTCAGATAATATGGAGGCTCTCTCTGTAAGCTCCCTTTCAGTGGGACCCTCAGCCTCCACTTTCTCATCTCTGGGGTCCAGGCAGCTGGCCCCCTCAGTGGACTCGCCATAGGTAGGTTGAGGGGCAGGGCTGCTGGCTTCTGGAAAGCTCTCCAATTCCACCCCACTGGCCTCTGCAGAGGGAGGATGGGCCTCCCTCTCATTGGTTTCATCCTCTTCACAATGATCCCAAGGGGAGGCAGCTGCCTCATGGACCTCTTTGTCAATTTGTGCTTTTTCCTCTTCTTGTGGCAAAACAGTCTCCTCATTTGTATTTTTTTCAATAGCTATGGCAGACGCCACTGGTACCTCAACAGTCACAGTCAACAATTTTCTAAGTTCCTTCAAAGACCCGGAGGCAGAGATGGATTCTGGCTCTTCACGGCTGGGGTCTTCTTCCTCAGGAATCTCTCCAAACTCCATCTCTGTTGAGTTTGTACCCACAGTTCCTGCCTTGTCCTCTGCAGCCACAAGATTCACAGGACCACTAATGCTTGAAACAATCACCTGCTCATCTCCACTGGTGGGAGGGCTGGACACGGGGAGAGATATACTTTCTCCTTCAGCCGATGGACTTGGGGCTCGGGGCTGCTGAGTTTCCTCTGACTCCTGGAACACTTCGTTCCCCAAGGGCTCACTATCCGGAACTCCTGGCAGAACCGTTGAGGCTCCCCTGGCAGGGCTGGCCTGGTTTGACCCTGAAGGGGTTTTTAGATCAATTAAGCTGGACACACTTTCACTGGGTAAGGCTATGTTGTCTTCAAATAAGTTGTGTTTCTTCAGAACAGCGGCTTCCTTTATCACTAAGACAAACCAGAAAACAAAATATGACATTAATGTTCTTCTATGGCCAACCTAAGGAGCTCTGGTAGCGTAGTGATTACGAATCAGGCTGCAAACTGTAAGGTGAGCAGTTCAAAACTACTAGCTGCTCCGTGGGAGAAAGATGAGGCTTTCTGCTCCCAGAAAGATTTACAACCTTGGAAACCCTGTACAGGGTCGCTATGGGTCGGAACCGACTCGATGGCACTTAACAACAACAGCAACAACAACATGGCCAAGCTAGATTATCAGATTTTATCCAGAGGGAAAATCCAACTCAGCCTCTTTGGCTAGTTCTCAATCTCAAATCTAAGCCTCCTCCCACCCCCTTTTCTGGAGCCCACCCTGACCACTTAAACCTGCAAACTTTTTCCAAACGCTAAATCTCTGTGGCATTCATTCATTTAGTCACTCATTTATTCAACCAGCAAATATTTACTGGGCATTACTAAGGGCAAAGGAGCTCTGGTAGCATAGTGGTTACGAATCGGGCTGCTAACCTGAAGGTCAGCAGTTTGATACTACCAGCGGTTACACGGGGGAAAGATGAGGTGTTCTGCTCCTGTAAAGATTTACAGCCTTGGAAACCCTGTGCAGGGTTGCTATGAGTTGGAACCAACTCCACGGTACTTAACAGCAACTAAGGGCAAGCAGTTCTGGTGTGGCACTGTGGGATGAAGCACTGGACCACAAGGTCAGCAATTTAAACTTATCAGCTGCTCCTTGGAAACACTATACAGGATTGCTATGAGTCAGAACTGACTCAACACCACTGAGCAACTGCAACAAGAGTCCCTGAGTAGTGTAAACAGTTAATGGGTTTGGCTACTAAGCAAAAGGTTTAACGTTGGAGGTTGGAAGTTTGGTGCTTTGGAAGAAAGTCCTGCCAATCTATTTCAGAAAAACCAGACATTGAACACTGTATGGAGTACAGTTCTATTCTAATACATATATGGTTGCCATGAATGGGAGTTAACTCAATGGCAACAGGTTTACTATAGACAGTCCTAGTGGTGCAATGGTTAAGTGCTTGGCTGCTAACCAAAAGGTGGATGGTTCAAAACTACCAGCAGCCCCAGAAGCCCTATGGGAGAAAAGACCTGGCTATCTGTTCCCATAAAGATATCAGCCTAGGCAACACTATCTGCCTGATAGGGTCATTATGAGTCAGGATTGACTCAAAAGCACACAACAACAGCTATAGGCAGTGAAACTCCAGAGATGAACAAAATATAGCCTTTGCTTTCAAGGACCTCACAGTCTAGGACAATATCATTATCAGAGCCCGAGATGGACATGTCCAACAGGGTGTTGTTCATATCCCTGTAGACACCATTGATTTGTGTAGACAGTCTCATAGTTTCCTGGTGCTTAGCAGTAGAATGTCCTGTTCTAAAAAAACTCAGTATACAGCAAAACCTCATTGATTGGATACTGTGTTTTACAAATGAAGGTTTGTGGCAACTCTGTGTCTATCAGCACCATTTTTTCAACAGCATGTGCTCATTTCATGACTGTGTCACATTTTGGAATTTCTCACAATGTTTTAAAATTTTTCATAATGCTATTGCCCACTTAATAGAGTACAGGACAATATAACATAACTTTTATAAGCACCAGGGAACCAAAAAGTTGTGTAACGTGTTTTATTGAGATATTTGCTTTATTGCAGTGTTCTGGAACCAAACCTGCAGTAACACTGAGGTATGCCTGTATTATGACAATTTTCCAACAGAGGGCAGTAAACTGTCTGGAAGAAGGGATCCTTTACCTAGTTCACACTAAGGTGCCATCCAGGTTGGTGATGGCCTGCACAGAGCCCTTTCTCTGTGCAAAATACTTTACATCCCTCTCCTGGGATCTCCTGTGACCAGCTACAAGGACCTAGGGCTTGTGCTTGGCCAATTTTCTTTATGGACCACTGTTTGTGAAACTCAACACTTACAGAGAGATCAGATTTGCTTCAGGCCCATAGTGTGATGGCTGGCCCTGTTGAGGATGCTACTATTAAAGTTTTCCTATCCCTAAAGTTTTCCTATCCCAAGGCAAGACCTGATGCTCAGGACAGTGGGTGCTAGAGTCCTTAAAAAGTTCGAGGAGTATTGAGTCATCATCCTGTGTCTTTTCTGTCAGACTGGGTGGAGGTCAGGAATGTGCTGAGCGAGCAGCTGGTCAGTCCTACAACCATAATCACCTCCTCCTGACTCTGGGAGGGGTGATGAGACTGTGGTTTTGTTCTGTTTTGTTCTGTCTGCAGCAGTAGGAGAAAGACAACTCTTTTTCTGAATCTCAGCTCACTCACTTATCTGCTGAATGACCCAGGGCTTACTCTCTCTAAGCCTTAGTTTTCTTACCAGAAAGATGAAGTTTCAAACTCCCATCTCACAGTTATTATTTATCGTAAAAGGAAAAATAATATCTAAAGGATCAGAATTGTTGTGTTAAGTGCCCTTGACTCAGTTCCAACTCCTAACAACACCATATAGGGTTTCTGAGACTGCAAATCTTTGCAGGAGCAGAAAGCCTCATCTTTCTCCCACAGGAGGCTGGTGGGCTCGACTCCCTGATCTTATGGTTCACAGTCTGTTGACTATTCTACAGTCACCGTGCTTCCAAGGGGTCAGCATAATGTATACTAAATTATGAATGCTTAATACCACTATCCTTCCTTCTTTGTTTTTCTCTCCAATCTGTCTACCTAGCACACCAATGCCAACTTCTTCCAGTTTCTTTCTCTTTTTGAAAACTTTTTATTGTGAGTTGACTGAAGGTTTATAGACAAGAAAGATCATCAATCTTACATTCAATAAATCACATATTTTGTTTCATCTCAATGTTTGCAATCCCCTCCACGCAACAGCAGTCACCCTACTTTCTCACTGTGATTCCTATTTGCATTCCACTCACCTTCCCAGCCTTTCTCAACTTTGTCCTTAGAGAAATGCTGCCCCTTTGATCATGAAGTATTGACCATTCCATGGTGAACATACTTTGTATTGTTTTGTCTCCTATATACCTATCTGCTGTTTGGCTGAAAATTGGACCACGAGAGTAACTTCCTTTCCAGGCCTGAAGGGTGGTCAAGGATCATAGTCTTGGGTTCCTCTAGCCTCTTTCTGACCAGGTGTTGTTGTTGTTGTTGTTGTTAAGTGCTGTTGAATCAGTTCTGACCCAGAGTGACCCTACGTAGGGTTTCTGAGAAACAACTGATGAACTTGAACCACTGACATTGTAGTTCAAATTGACTTTGTAGTCCAATGCATTAACCCACAGTGCCACCCGATCTTTTTTTCTTTCTTTCTTTTTTAATAATTTAGAGTTTTATTCTACATTTTCTGCCACTCTATCTGGGACCTTGTAATGTGATCCCTTTAAGATTAGTTGATAGTTGTAGCAGGACACCACCTAGTTCTTCTTGTCTCAGGGTTGTGGAGACTGGTGTTCCCATGTTCCATTAGTCCATCTTATATTCCTGTTGTGGTGCTGTAGGATCAGTACTGGACTACTAACCACAAGGATGGTGATTTAAACCCAATAGCCACTCCTTGGAAACTCTATACAAGGTTTCTGAGTCAGAACTAACTTGACAGCACTTATACACACACACACACAATTAGTCCATTAGACTAATTGACTCTGTTGTTGTGTGCTATCAAGTGGGTTCCAACTCATAGTGACTCTGTATAGAGTTTCTGAGGAGCAGTTGGTGAGTTTGAACCACCGACCTTGCAGTTCAAACCAACCTTGAGGTCAAGTGCTTATCCTACAGCACCACACCAGGAATCTAAACATCTTCACTTCTCATCCCTCTTCTTTCGTCTGCACATGGAGAGACTAATAGTTCTTAGATGGCCAATCATGAGCTTCTGTGATTTCAGACACTACTCACCAAAGTAGGATGTAGAACATTATCTTTGTGGACTGTTATACCAACTGACCATGGTGTCACCTGAGACCATGGTCCTGAGGCCCCAGGCCCAGAACTTCATTGCCTTAAGATGTTTGATAGTATCTAAGAAGTTTTCATCATTTTGTCGGCTGTATGTATGTTCCATCACATTCATAGGTTTATTTGTGTAGCTGGCATGGCTGAGTCCCATTGTCACATTTCACAGGTGTGCTACTTTATCTAGAGTTACCCTCCTAATCTCACCCCCTAGTTACTGTGGAGTTGATTCTAACTCACAGTGACCTGATAGGACAGAGTAGAACTGCCCCATAGGGCTTCCAAGGCTGTAATCTTTATCAAATCAGACTGCCACCAGCACCAAGTAAAGCTTTCCTTACCTTTGAGAGTTTCATCAAGCAGGGTCTGATGTAAAATTTCCTCATACACATTTTCAACCTGGATCATATTGGTATGATCTGCAAAGATGAACTGCTCATATTTTTGAAGTTCCTGGAAAGTGAAAGATAAAGAAGAAAGGATATGAGATGAATTTTCTTGGAGATGTGCAAAGGACAACTCCCACTCATGATCCTCCCAGAGAGTACATGGGAGCAGGGTAATGTTGACCCATCGCAAAAGTGTTTAACAACTCAATTCAAGAACATTTTATCAGGTTCCAGTTTGATTCAGTTCACTGTACTAAGCATCACATATGACCTCAACACATCCATAGAAACTGTCCAGGAGAGGACTTGGACCGGTCCATTAGTACTGTTGATTCACCTTATTAGGGGACATGTTGATTCACCTTATTAGGGGACATGTTGGACATTTTGATCACCTCAAGGCTTTGTCAGGGAATCTATCCTACCCAACCCACCCTCACCCTCTACTCCTCCCTGTTTTTCTATCAGTACCAAAGAGTTTCCTTCTTCCTTTTTTATGATAATGCCAATAGTACTTTTTTGAGGCATAAGTTACATAGAACAAAATATACAAATTTTAAAAGTACAGCTTTGTGATTTTAAATATATCCATGCAGTCACTATGCAAATCAAGATAGTCATTCCCAAAAATTCTTTCTGCCCTATTTAGTCTAGAAAGGGTTTAAGACAGTTCTGATTTCTATCACAAGGGTTTTTACTTTTTCTTGGCCTTTATAAACAAGGCATCATATGCTATTTTGTGTCTCTTTTTTTTCTAAATTTTATTGTTGAGAATCTACACATCAAAACATATACCAATTCCACAGTTTCTACATGTACATTTTAGTGACACTGAATACATTCTTTGAGTTGTGCATTCATCTCATCCCCCTTTTCAGGTTGTTCCTCCCTTATTGACATAAATTCACTGCCCCCAAACTTCCTATCTCATCTTTGAAGTTGTCACTTTGATCCCTTATTGATCATTCTTAAAAGAGCAAAACGCTCAAGGTTTTTCACTAGTTCAACTAAACTGTTGTTTGGAATTGGAAAAGACTTCAGAAGACATTTTGATTTAATAAAGATTATCTCAGGGTAATAGTTCAGGGGGGGTTTATTCTACTCTCTATGGGTCCAGAAAACTTGGAGTCCTTAAAAATTTGAGATTCTGTTCTGCAATTTTCCAATTTTAATCAGGATTCTTTTATGGAATACTTGATGAAAATGTTCAATAATGGCAGTCAGGCATCATACAGTTCTTTTGGTCTCTTGGAAAATGAGGCAGTTGTTCATGGAGGCAATTAGCCACACATTCCATAGCCTCCTCTATTTCTTATTTTCCTTCTTCTGTTACCCATGTGAATAGAGACCAATTGTTGTGCCTTGGATGGCCACGTGCAAGCTTTTAAGAACCCAGGCATTACATAACAAACTAGGAGATAAAGCAGAAGTACTAAACATGTTATTTGGCCAAGTAACTGGAATGTCCATTAGAATATGACCCTAAATTTTCAAACCAAGGAATCAAATCCCATGAGATTTTTGATTATACATAAGCACCCTCAGCAGCTACTCTTCTTTTTTTTTTCCAGAGAAAAAGCATAATTTTTGCCAATTAAACTATTTTTTTTAATATAGGTGTACAGCTTATTGACAACAATTACACTAATCAGCTATGTAACCTAACTTTAATCAATGTAATTTTTTTTTATCCCTGTAAACCACTTTTCCCCTGGTCCCTTTGGTCCCTGTACATTTTGCCTTTTCTTGTCTTTTTATATAAGTGAGCCATATAATATTCATCCTTTTGTGACCTACTTATTTCACTCAACAAAATGTCTTCAAGCTCCATCCATCTTTTAGCATGTATCAAGACTTCTTTCCTCCTTCTGGGTGAGTAGTATTCCATTGTACCTATGTACCACATTTTGCTTATCCACTCATCTTTTTATAGGTATTAGTTTCCACGTTTGATCTATTGTGAATGATGCTACAATAAACATTAGTATATAAGTCTAGGCTTGGTGGTGGTGGTGGTGTGCCATGGAGTTGGTTCCGACAATTTTCTAGTCTTTTGGATGTTATAACATGACTGAACAGGATCTAGTTTGAGGCACTAAGACATAATAAGACATCAGTTTGAAAAGAATTCCTATTAGAACTATATGAATTCTGCTAAAATTGAAGCAAAGACAAAGATCAAATTTATGGTGGAAGTTTGGTTTAAAGAATGGTGAAATAATTGATGCTTTAGGAAAAGCTTATGGGGTCCATCTCCACGCTCAAATCAGAAGTTTAAAAATGAGTAACTCATTTTAAGAAGGGATAAGAAGATGCTGACCAGAAGCAGACCTTCCACATCAATTTTCAAGAAAAAAAAAATTAATCTTGTTTATGACCTACCTGAAGAGGGTTGATGATTAACAACAATAAAATAGCCAACACCACAGACATCTCAACTGGTTCAACTTATATAATTCTGACTGAAAAATAAAAGTTGAGCAAACTTTCTACTTAATGGGTGCCAAAACAGTTGTGCCCCAATCAGTTGTAGACAGGAGTAGAGGTTTCCATGGAAATGTTAAACAAGTGGGATCAAGATCCTGAAGCATTTCTTGGAAGAATTGTAAAGGAAATGACAACAAAGCACAATCAAAGCAATGGCTACCAACAGATGGAAGTGGTCCAGTCAAAGCAAAAAGACTGGTCAAGATTAAAGGTCATGGCTACAGATTTTTGGAATGCTTAATCCATTTTTCTTGCTGACTTTCTGAGATACAAAGAATGATAATGTCCATTTATTTTGAGAGTGTTCTGAGAAAGTTAGAAAAAACTTTAGCATAAAAATGCAGGGGGAAAAAAAAATGCAGGGGAAATCTTCACCAGAGAGTCCTTCTTCATCACAACAATGCACCTGCTTATTTCTCTCATCAAATAAGGGTAATTTTGGGGAGAATTTCTATGGGAAATCATAAGACATCATCCACATTACAGTGTAGATTTGACTCCTTCTGATTTCTTTCTGCTTCCTAAAATAAAAAGGTATTTAAAATGTGCCCATTTTTCTTTAGTTAATAATATAAAAAAGACCATATTGGCAATGGTGAAATTCCCAGGATTCTCAGTTCTTTATGAATGGACTAAATGGCTGGTATCATCACTTACAAAAGTGTCCTGGCCTTTACTGAGCTTATATTGAGAACATTAATATATATTTTTTTATTTTTATCTTTTCATTACATTTTTCAAATATTTTGAAGTTCCCTCACATATATCTGCTAACTCTAGTTGGTTTATAGCGTCATTCAGGCCCTCTGTTTCCTTGTTGATCTTCTTTCTAAATGTTTTGTCCAGTAGTAAAAGTGGTGTATTGATTTGCCCAACTATTATTGTAGTGCTATATACTTCTCCCTCCAATTCTATAAGTATTTTCTTCTTATATTTAGGTGAGGGGTAGAGAACATCTGGCCCATGGGCCATATAAGGTCATGAAATCATTTGGTATGACCTTGCTAAGGCAACTGCAGTTGGGACTCAAAATTCAATAAATTTATGAACTTTTTTCATAGCAACATAAATATATATTAAGAGATGCTATAAATATCCGAATGAACCTTGTCAGAAAAAAGGCTCCTCACCTCTGATTTAGGTGTTTTATTTTTGGGTGCACGTGTATATTTATGATTGTTAAATCTTCTTGATTACTTGGACCTTTTATCTCTTTATTTCTAACAGATTTTTTCTTAAAGTCTACTTTATCTGATATGAACATTGCTATTCCAGCTGTCTTTTGGTTATTTGCATGTAATATATTGTATTCCCATCTTTTCATTTTTAACCTATTTGTGTCCTTGGGTCTAAGGTATGTCTCTTGAAAACAGCATCTAGTTGGATTCTGTTTTTAATCCACTTTGCCACTCTCTGCCTTCTGATAGGAGACTTAGTCCATTTATATTCACTATGGATAAGGCGTGACTGACTTCTGCCATTTTGTTATTTGTCTTTTTGTGTGTCTTAAGCCTGTGTTGCCTTTCTTTGTCCTTTACTTTTATGCTTTCTTGCTTTTTTGTAGTGAGTCATTTCAGTTCCCTTCTCCTTTCCTTCTGTGCATGTGTTTTTAGATATTTTCTCTGGTAGCATAGTGGTTATGAATTGGGTAGCTAACCTCAGGGTCAGCAGTTTGAAACTACCAGCTGTTCCATGGGAGAAAGATGAGGGTTTCTGTTCCTGTAAAGATTTACAGCCTCAGAAACCCTATACAGGGTCTCTATGAGTTGGAACCAACTTCATGGCACCATAACAACAACAAAACCCATAAATATTACATTTAGCAGCTTGGATTGATAACATTTTAGGGTAAGTTTAGACTGATATAGCTTAAGTAACACACAAGACTTGCTGCTTTGGGCTGGCATTTCCCAGAAGGTATCTATTTTGTTAGTTTCAGAGTCCCAATGGTTCAGCAGGGCACTCTCCTCTTACATGACCCTCCTCTTGGCTCCACTGAAGGGGACCTTCTGTAGGAATTCATATAGTCCAGCAACTGACACTTTCTGGAGGGGGGAGGGAATGTCATGCTCTGAATGGATTCAGGGAGGTCTGCCTGCTGCTATCATGTTGTTGTTGTTAAGTGCCGTCGAGTCGGTTTCGACCCATAGCGACCCTGAATAGGGTTTCCGAGGCTGTAAATCTTTACGGGAGCAGATCGCCTCATCTTTCTCCCGCGGAGCAGCTGGTAGTTTCGAACTGCTGACCTTCCAGTTCGCAGCCCGATTCGTAACCACTACGCTACCGCATAGCCACCATGTAATATGTTGTCTGGATGTAGACTCCTCTTAAGATGTCTGCCTCCTAGCACACAAAAGTCTGAGCCATCAGTCCTCATTGTCAACCGGAAGGGAAAGCAAGACAGACCCGAGTTGCTCCACAGAGAGGTCTGTCCTGTTGGTTTCAGAGGCCTGAACTACGGTGTGCACAGAAAGGCAGGGAGAGTGCTGACTACAGAGTAGACTCCTCTACAGAAGCCTCGTGCAGCCATCTGTAACAGCCTGGCCACCCTCAGTTACCAGGTGGGAGAGGGGCATC